ACTTTCTAATTCTGCATTATGCAAAAAAATAAATTTTTCTTTTTGAAGATGGAAAAAAAAGCTTATTTCTTAGTGTGTTTTGGGGAAGATTGAGCTTGTCCTCAAATGTATGCCTTCTCAGACTACTTTCTGAGTGTGATCATTTTTAGTGTATAAAATTTGAACATGTCATTAGGGAAAGAGCAGTGTGATGGACTGTTACCCGTTTGCAGCATATTCCCATCTTCTCATCTGGAAAATTAAATCTGATTATAGCTTGGATTAACATTTACGGCTGTGGGGGAGTGGAAGATAGTATCTTAAACTATATGAAATTGAACAATGAGATTATATCGTTTATAGCTAATTTTCAAGTCTTGATTTTAAAGGGAAGGTTTTTATGATTGTAAGTTTTAAATATGTTCAAAGTTTTGTTTCTTCATGACTGAAATATCCTAGGGATAATGACTGGATAAATGTTAGTGGGTATTAAATGTCATTTTTTCTGCCTTGATACCTGCCATGTTAAAAGTGAAAGCAGCATAGATTCCCATGTTAATGGCTACTTTTGCAGTCTCTCTTAAATTTTCTAAAAGAGCTCCAGTTATGGAAGATTATAAGGTTTGGTTAGCGTTCAGTTGTCACACATTTCATAGAAAATGTAGTCACTGTATTTTTCAATAATTAGTGTCACGCCTTGACCCTTCAAATGAAGTCACTGATGTGACAGAGAAAAACAGGAAAATAGTTTGGTGAGGTGTGTGTGTGTGTGTGTGTGTGTACACATACTAGTTACTGATCTACAAATGAGCCCTAATACATAACCACAGTACTTTTATGAATTATTTTGCATTTCTGTTGTAAAAGATCTGTCTACCACGTTTTCTAGGAACTTTAAGCCTAAGGCAGAACTCAAGGTTTTGGAGCCTGTGTAAAATAATTTATAGCACCGTTCCAGCAAGTCTTGCCCAAACTCTAATTCTATTAATTAAACATCCTGTGGCAATCTGGTATATCTTAAAGATTTAAAGTATGTTACAGTAGAAGACTAGAAAACATGAACAATTGTGGTAGAAGAAAATTAATGTTTCTTAAAAAAATTAAGACATACTTATTCTGAGACCTTTTTTTTCCCCCTCCCTGTAAAGACTTAGCCACTTAAGTATGGTCATATTCTGTGCCTGAATCAGTTTTGCTATTGGGAATCCTATGCTGTGAAATGTCTGTTTGAAGTCGAAATGTTTCTTATGGCCTGCAGTGGAAGTGGTGGTGCAAATGTGTCTTTGTGGAGACCTCTTCTTGCATGGCCACGGTGCTGGAGAAGGTAGAGGCCCATCACACTGATATGATGCCAAGACTTGTTTCAGAGCCAAATGCCTCTTTTAGGCTTATGTGGCTAAGACATATATGGACTCTACCATACCATACATCTTGTGGCAAGATATTTTTAATATGATATTTTAGGTTGAAAAGTGTTTTCTTGGGAAATGATGAAATTCATTTTTAATTTTAAAAGTTAAAATTTACTATTACTTAAATCTGGAGAAAGTTGCTGAGAAAAGGAAAAGGAATGTTCTTAATTTTCTGTAAGAGGGACAGTTCTTCGATAAAAAGCTTGACATATGCCCATGACTCTGTTCTTACTGCCAATTGCCTAAGCAAAATGTTGCTGTTTTTTCCTTGGTAGTTCTCTGATCTGCGGATTTTTGTGTTGAAAGTTAGCTGTTTGGTGACAGTGCATTTGGTGGTGAGGATATGAATGTGAGAAGGTGTTTTGGAACATTAGCAATTATAGTATTGGATGATGGATAAAGAAATAGATACATAAATATTAGACCAATGCACAGTTTTCCAGTGTATGTTATTTTCCATATAAAGATATAGAACATTTCATAAAATGTTCCCAGACCATTTAAAACTCAAAGAAATGCAGCTGATGCAATGAAATACATAGAGTACTTGTAAAAACATACAGACACGCAAGTGGATTGCTGCCAGACAGAAAATTTAAAGGCGGTTTGCTTAACTGCAGGGTGCTAGGTTTTGTACATGTGCCATGCTGAAACTGTTAGTAAGGCGGGTGTTGTGTTGCTTGAGAAAAGCAGATTGTATTTGGACCTTTTAAACTCAGATGTTTCCATTGTCGATACTTTGGTGACATTATGGCATTTGTGATCGACTCAATGTGAGAAAAGATGATTTCAACCCACTGCAAAATAGACATTTTAAGAAAACTCAGATAAATTATTTTCAATATTTTGTTAATTTTTACAAAGTGGTTTTCATAGTTTTATAAACTATCAGATTGGGTCTTTGGGCTAATGGAGCGGAACTTTGTAGGTTGGGCTTTGGTTTCTAAAAAGCATTGCCCCTCCCCACCCCTCCACCCCTGCCCTCTTTTTGAAATATTGCTTTAAAGAGTGTTAAGAACCCATGAAGTTTGCTTTTGTAAACCTCAGGGCCTTAAAGGAAATCACAAGCTTTATGCTTGAGTCATAGTAAATAATAATACATATATTCTCTTGACATGATTCTCTAAAAATCTGGGAATCTCACTCTGGGGTTAGTTTTAGGACAGTTGAAGGAATTTGGTTGATGTTTATTGTGCCTACTACTGAGACAATGTTTAGGGTAAGTATGATTTGCATGACTCCCATCTTGGCATTCCATGGTCATATTTACCTTCAGTATATTAAAATAAGTTTATTTTTTTCTTTTCATCCATGTTCCGTTCTCTTTTTAAAATTCTGCTATATTGTATATATGAATAAAATACATTTTTTAAAATAAGTTAATTTTTACTATAGTTTCTTATTAACATAGTTGGCTAAAGATGTAAAAACCTTTCTCCCATCTATCTATAGACAGAAACTTTTAAAGTTGAAGGACATATCATAAACTTTGTTTTCTGACATTTATCCCCTCACAAAATGATGATAAAGAAATAGTCTTTGGTTTTATTCCATTGTGATCTCCATCAGTATTTTTGTAGTTCCCGAGAAGCACAAACTACTGTAAGAAAAAGGACATATATTAAAGATTTATATGTGAGTCGTTTCTATATGAAGTTTTCTGGTTGAAAAGTGTTAACTGTGTGACAGTTGGAAGAAAAAGAATAAGCCCTTAGATTATTTAGTGGCTTTCCCAACTCCTGTTTTACTGTGTCCCTCTGTGGCTTACAAGTGCATTTTTTTTTCCAGTCTTGGGACCAAATTTTAAATCCTAAAATACCAGTTTTTTTCTGCACTACAGTGATTTACGTATGTTTTAGAAATTATAACCACTGCCCTCTTATTTCGGCTCCCCCCATCGCTGACCTAGCCAGCACGCTTTTAGAGGTATGTTAGGCATCTGGTTGCCCCCTTTGCATCTTGCCAATTCTTCCCTGTAGACCTTAGTGCTTTTCATGCCACACCATTAGCGCCCTCTGGCCTCCTGTCTCAAGAGGGCCAAGTCCTTGTGTGATTTCAGCCCTTCTGGCCAGAGAGAAGCAACAGCTTCTTCCTCTGGCACATTAGGGCAGCCCTGCACAGAGGGCATCACTCCAGAATTCTGCTAGTCACAATCTAGGCATGTCCTTTGTCCCATCTAGTATCTGCAGATGAGGGGTTAGGAAAGAAATTGATCCTCAGTTTTTAAGTCAACCAGAAGATACCTCAAGAGCTGAAATGGTCTACAGATAGTTTCACCTTTTTTGTGCTACCCATTTTTAGAAGCTCTCCTTTTTTGGTATGACCTTTTGAATACTCCTTCCTTTGTTATTAGCCTTGGGTTTTGAAAAGTAACATCCATTGACTTTAATGACTTGAAAATTGGCATTTTTAGGATTTAAATATAGTATGTGAATAGGCCCTTAGTTTTTTCCCTTTTTGATTCTTCACTGCAGAAAGATGAACTACATTTTTGTGTTATGATTTGGAAGGTTTTAGCTTTTATGTGGATTCACTCTCACAGAGAAGAGAATTGATGTTTTAAAAGATAGCTGTGAAAACTGAGTAGTATATTTTGTGATTAGTGTGTGAGGGGACCCCCAAATACTCTACTTTTTCATAAGCCTTGTCCATTGGTACGTGATTTCTCAAATACATACTGTTCTTATCACTCTCCATAATGTGTCTCTGAGGAACCAAATATTTCTCTTATTAGAAAAGATTGAATGTTTTCCTAATCAATAGCAAATGGAGTGCTAATAGCATTTAATTAGTACACTCATGTATTGACTTACAGACGATGGCATTGGATTATCTTGCAATTATGATTGAAGAATCAAGTGACCCTTTAGTAACTCCATTTTAAACAGATGGTCATAAAAGGTGTTTTCACCTATGTATTTTTATAGTTGCTGAGCAAGTTTAATTATGTTAGGTAGAACATAATATCTCATTTCATGATACTTTGCACTGACAAGCCAAAAGTGTATCATTTGGTTCTGTTTTGAAGAAAACTTCATCTGGTTTTATCTGTATTTTCAGGAGTTCACTAAGTATTTTGGTAAGGACATATTTTATTTTTAAAGCAAAGAGTTTGCGTTTGTTCCTTGAAAGAATTCTTACTCCTCATCACCCCCTATACACACACACACACACACACACACACACACACACACACACACACACACAATCTGAAACTGGTGTTTAAGGTGGTTTATCAAGCTCACATAGGTAACTATGAAAAGGAGGCTTCTGATTAGAGAAAAAAAGTCAAGCCAGGTTTAAGACTCATTTTCTCTGAAAAAATATATTGAGGGCAATTTGCAGCTGGCAAGATTTTTGCATTAGATAATAGTCTAAAGTTAACAGTAGCATCAGGTCTTCAAAATTTTTCTTTTTTATATTTCTGGAGGAGGGTAATGGGAGTGCCTTGCCGAGTCCTTCCTTGTGCTCATCAACATAGCAGCCTCAGCTGCCCCCCTTGGATCCCCTGCCAGGGCTGCTATCATCTTCTGATCAAATATTAATGTGTGATCCTCTGCTTGCTCACTAATCCAAAGCCAATTAATATTATCTGTCAATTATTTACAG